ATTTCCTTCGGGATCTTCTTGACGATCGCCTGAAGGATGCGCTCGTCTGCGAGCGTATAAGTGTGGAAGTATATATCTTTTTCGCGAAGGAACTTTGTCACATTGCGAAAAGCATCTGTCGAATCTAGTTGGAGTTTAATACCCTGTTGGGTAGGCGTTGCTACGCACTCTATTTTATTGGAAAGTGCCGATTTGATCATCGGCCACTTGTCCTTGGCTTGAATGTAGATTGGGGGAGGTTTTTTACTATGTAGCGCACGGGCTACGGGGAGGGCAGGACGAGCGATTGGAGACTGGGGTGAGGAGTTGAAGGGAGCAGTTTTGGGAGGCTCGACGGGAGTAGCCATAAGGGCTGGGATCGGAGCTGACTGGGAAGATTCGAGCGGGGAATGAGGGCGCGGCGCCTTCTGAGGCACGGGGGATGAGGATGATGATGACGGTGACGAAGAAGCGGGGGAGGAGCGCTTCTTGCGCTTTTTCTTATTATAGACTTCCGTAAATAAGCCGCCTGCATCTTCAGGATTTTCGGGTGACATAGGGGAGTCTAGCTCCATATCCTCCACGTCGCTAGACGGCAGTGACGCATCGCCGGTGCTTGACCCGGATTTGGAATGCTCTGCGGGGGCTCCGGATTCCACGTCTAATAATGAGGCATTAAGTGCCTTGAAAGCGTCCGGGAATTTATATTTTAAAAAGTCAAGGACAGCTTTTAAGCTTGACTCCGCCATTTGGACTTATGGTGGACCGTACCTAGTCACTATGTAGTGTCCCGGTGGGATGCCGGGGTGTATATCCCTAGCTCCCTCCCTGCTGGGTTAAGCAGGGAGGATGTGTGCCTACTACGTGTAGCCCTAGTGCGTCCGAGTGCCGATCTTATTGTGCACTCGGGTGTGTACTTAAGTCTAACTAAAGCTACCCGTGGGCTCTAAAAGGCCAAACGTGGACCAACGTTGACTAGGGCACTACCCAAGGCCAGTGGTGGAGGTCCCTTCCGAATTACGCGGTTCCCTGAAGGGGAAACGCAGGCGAACGGGGCTGCCTGACTAGCTTCGTTATCACCGTTAGGTATCCGCTAGCCTTTTAAAATTGCGCTGTTAAGACTTTGCTCCGCGCAGTGAAAACTGCACTTCACAATTCCTTTCACGCAGTTCCCGAAGTCGGAAACAATAGACGTTGCTATGTTATTAATAAGAAACTAGATAATTGCTTGCCAGGTGGCGGTGCAATAAATAGTTCCCTAAGGAACAATGAAATGACGACGTTCTACCTCGAAACTAGGATTATCGCTTGCCAGGTGGCGGGCGCAATAAAAATTGCACCAACACAGTCGGCTCGCGAACAAAGGATGGCGGCACCTTTTATGGCGCGCGCAGGTGCGGATTGCTCAACGTAGTGTCGGGCGGAGCGACAGATGTGCGGCGAGCGGACACGTCCGTTCGCCTCAGCGGTCTGTAGCGGAGTGTCAATGTTTTGCCTTTAAGATAATAGTTTCATCATCATTAGCTGATTATACGCCCCCACTAGGGGTGACTAGGCCTTAAACATTAGTTGACTGAGTTTATAAGAACTTTACAAATTAATGGCACTAAAAACATTTTGTCCAGGCCCTAATTATTTTATTCTTAAAAAATTACGAGATATCCAGTGGGATCAAGTCTTAAGCTAAGGTTTGATTGCTTCTACAAAGTGTGGTTAGCCATCTGGAACAAAGAAAATGAAGAGGTAAGAGACTGCGAGATGTGGAAGATCTTTCGCCTTATTTTATTTAGAATCAAGTAGTTCAAGAATCAGTTAAGTGTACTGGGGATTCTGTTGAAATATAGGAATTGCTTTAGATAAAATTCCAAAGGATTTTGAATGCTAATTATAAAGTGAAAGCTGTAGATTAGCATTACTACAATAAGTATTGAGGGTGGTAGGATCAAGGCGCCATTTTAACGTACAGTTCAACCGTAGCGCCCGCTTCGAATGCAGATTTGAATAAAACTCCGTTTCTAAAGACTCCCCTGGGGATTAAAATAACTTTCGATGAGCCATTTCGCAAATTAATTAACTTATTTTACGCCTGATAAAACAGCTTCGTAGGTATAATTCCTTTCAACTGATGATTAAAGACCGACACTTTAGTTATTAATAAAATATTTAAGTGGTGTTTATTAACTAAGTATCCTTAGCGAAACATACAATAATGTGATGAATATTTATGAAATGAAATATTTTTTGATCGTGTATTGTTAAAATTGTTTTACAAAAGTTTATTAAAAAATGTATTAAAAATGCTTATTAATATTTTATAAGTTTTATATCAAATAGTGTATTTTATCGTAATTAAGTATTTACCAAATCTATTTTCTTCGTTTTTCTTGCCGAGTGTGATACAACAATATTAAAATTTAGTCTATCGTATAAATTTATCGAGAGATTATTTCATAAGTATACAAGTTAATGAATTCAAAATATAAAACATCCGAAATTGTCATAAATACAATAATAAAAATAACTAACAACATAGAATTATAATGACATAGCGGAATGAAGTCGGGTTCTCAAGCATTTGCTCGTATTAATAATCTCATAAATGTAACATTTTATATATTATCCTATATATTTAATATATAGGAAAGCGACGCATTTCCTGTTGTTATTTAACCACGTTTTATTCGCGTAGTAATCCAGCGTTCTGCCTATAAACAATTAAACAAGGCAACTCAGTGTGAGGTCGTATGTAAGCACGTAATGCGTGTATTCGGTAATTGTGGTGGTAACATAACGGAAAGCAGAACGTGACTGTAATACGCTAGAAAGAAAAGTGCCTATTTTGTTCTATTATAATTTATGATGCATCTCAATCATGTAAAGCCGGCTGATATTGCCTATTCGTTTGAGGAGCTTCCGAGGGGCGAGCCAAATCTCACCGACCATTCCCACTTCCAATCTTGATGTTATTTTGAATTATTGTTTAGGGCTACTAAGCGATCCCGGCACGTAAATATTTCGATTTAAATCGAATCCCCCTTTTGTTTTGTAGAACTGTTTACGTAATTCAACGTGTTATGCTTAGGTGTTTAATATAAAGAAATGAAACTCCTTTTCAGAAAAGCAAGGAGCACTGCCGACCTGGCATCCAGCCAAAGCTAAATTAGATAATGGAGTTTGCGTGCAAAAATATAGGAAACGGAGAACAAAGACAAATGGGGTCGATTCTGACTCCGGAACGATGAAATAAAATAACACAGGGCAGACTCAGTAAGGCCTATAGCTATTTCTTATGTCGGCACGTAATTTCAACACAGATTACATGTAGAATCTCAGCTCCCCGCTGAACGCCAACACTTCCTTATCATACCTCTTAAATATGACTTGTTTTTATTAAAGTTTGACTATTAATCTTGAATATTTGTTATTATTTCTTTATATTAACATTTTAATTCTTAATATAAATTTCTTATAGTTACATAAGAATCCTATTTATTTAGAACATGTCGTCGTAAGTCACATTTCTATTCATATTTTAGAGTTGTTTCATTGATTTCATCATTTTTTTTACTTATTATCCAAACACCACATAACGGAATTAAAAATATATATTAATCATGTCAAAAGGCCTAAATAAATCCTATCAAAATCATCATAAAAGCATATTATTATGATAGTATTAGGAGCGTATAATAATTGAAACATGATATCGCAGGATTGAATCAATCACTCATATATTTTAGTAAGTCATCTCGCGCAAACAACATTAAAGGGACGTAATTAATGAACGCTGTTTTCTGCTTATATTGCTTTTAAAAACAAAAATTTCAACTTCAGAACCCATTTGAGTAAACTACATTTGTAATACGCATACTTTCCGTGAGTCTTTGACACCAAAATCTCTGTATCAAACATACCCTTATTCTAGTCAATATCTTCGAAAAAATAGAGATCTCACTATATTTGAAACGGACATTTTGGTCTCAGAAACTCACGGTTAAACAACTAGACTTGCAAGAACAGTTTATACCTGGCGCGTTGTTCAACCACATTACCAAATTATACAATCACAAACCTGCACGTGAAAGCAATATCAGTAATGTCGCATAAATTTGCGTATAATGTTGCTTATCACTTAATTACGGTAATTACACCGTACGAATGATCAATGGCCGTTCAGGATAGACGAAAGAATTTATAACATGCACGGCTAAAGCCGGTCGGGCTAAATAATAAGGTCGTGATGCTGGCAACGATGATTTATTATATAGCTCTCCTCGACCGCTCGAATGAACCACATGAAAAATGATCTCAGTTATTGCTAAAGGCAACTCTGCAGTTGACGCTTTGTTTAAGCACAAATGACTCACACTATGAACTTGTTATTTTGGCCGACTTATGTTTTTACTAGATTACGAAGGAACGCGGCCTACGTAGATGTCGTCGCAATATGACAAATCGTCTGTTCCGATCTCGGAAAAGTAGGCGGCACTAACGTCTTACTTTATTATATGTCTCATTCCGGCGATATGTTATATTTTAATACAACCATTATGTATAAATTATTATGCTTATACTTTTATTTTGTTCTTTCTTATCACTTTTTTTGGAACACAAACTTATTCCATTCTCATATAAAGGTATTGATGATATAATGTATTATACTATTTCTTTGTAACCGTTATTACGAACATTTGTTAAAACATAATATTCCAAGCTGCGTTGAATAGATTTAACTTCAGTTGAGAACGAAAACAAGTGATTTTTATTTAAATTTAACCTTCAGAATATTCGAGATCTGTGTCAGAATTTTTATAAGATAATTTTTTTTTAGTAAAGATCGTTAAAGTTACGGACCCATTCAACTTGGAGTACTTAAATGGAGTTAAGGGCGATTGTGTTTTTTTTCTTCGCTCGGCCCGTAACGGTCTAATTGTCACTTCAATCCAAACGAAGAGCGCGAAACGCTCGTGATAAGGGTTTCTTTTCTCCGCGATGCCGGAAATTAATTGTCACCGAACGGAAAATAGGGTGAAAGTCCAATTAATTATTACTCACTTCATTTATTTAATCCGAAAGCCTGAGGCTTCCTTCTGATATTAATGTCCAGGGTGTCGGGCTAATCTTGCCGACACTTTTAAAGTGTTATTTCATTATAATATTCTAGCTAACCGAAACTTTCTTATGACCATTTAAGCACAAAGTTTTTTCAAATTGATTGTTTCAAGCATTATTTCTTGCTAATTTTATAAGAAAAATGATATATCCAATCGTAAATACTTACAATTCCAAACTACATAAAAAATAATATATTCTTTGAACAAAAATTATAAAAAGATCAATTTGTAATACTTCTAATATTTCCTTCTTGATATCAGTTTAAGTTTCTTTGAAAAAATAATAAATATATTTATAATATTTTCCAAACTTCTTAAAGGTCGTTTATATTGTGTTCGTAAAGTTTATCTTGAGGCTTGTAACAAGATTATTATTTGACGCAATTACATAGGGTATTTTCAAACAAAAGGGTCTTAACATCATCAACTTTTGTATCTAAGCAAAAGTTTTGTTTAAAATTGGCGAAAGTTTGAATGAAGTGACTTACCTTGGGGCGTTTTATGTCGTCAGCTGCGATGATCCCACAGACTTGACATCGACAAATAAAATTCTATATTCATCCAAGACGTTCTCATGCGAATCTAACATGAATCTAAATCAATATGATAACCAATTAATAACAATATTTCTTACA